CATCTGGTTCGCCCGAGCGCAAAAGGCCTCCAGTGCAAAGGGTTAAATATTTCTATTTGCGATGAATAGTTATTTTTATCATCGCGAATAAAGGAGCGACCACATTTAGGTAGTCCTTGTGTTTAATGTATGTACAAGTACGATGAGCTCATCGTCGACTATTGTTTAATGAAGACAAGATAAATAAATAGATACCGTCTATGTACACCGATAAATATATAATCGATACAATTTTATCAGTATAGAGATAAAGACGTTCGCGATTGATTCGCGAATCAGAGAGATTATCACCGAGCGACTTAATCGTTGAATCGGAGCTGTTCCTGAGCGAACCGTCGAGGAGAAGAAACCCGTGGTTCATTTGCATTCGAATGGGTCGCGTTACAAAAGGCTCGTTACAAGTTTTCAATGAGAGGAAGAACCGATCCGATCGGGCCGAGTTCGGAAAGACGTTTCCTCCACGACTCCCAAGGGCGAATTGTCGCTGGAAATTTTGCTAATGCCCGAAGTGAAAACAAATTGGAGCATGCGGGTCACGCGGCGGTGACGCAAATCAAATTCGTCACGATTCAATGACCGGTTATACGCCCCGAAGGAAGTGCACGTTACATTTCAATTTCAATTCAAGATGCTTCGGGCTCGGAATCGACTGATCACGTGTCATAGTTACAAATTAGTATCTCGATCCATTGTTTTCGAAATCAGATTATTTATTTGCACGTGGAGCGAACACGCTACGTAATTCGTCGAACTAATTGGGGAAAAATGAAAGATATTAACGAAGCAGACCGATCATCGACGTCAACTGGAGTGAGAGAATTTAACAACGCTAGAGAGGTCCAAAGAGGGTGCGCCAAAGGGCAGACGAGACTCGCCCAAGGAAGACCGACCTTTTGCGTGCCTTCGTCGCCAGACGGGAAAAATTCTAAAAAGAGATCTCGTCGAATGAAACTATCGTCGTCGACCGATAGAACATTTATCAATTGATAAAAAACGTAACGTTCATCGTGATCAGGCGTTTTTTCAAGGTCGTATCGT